CTGAACCGCAACCTCCGACGGCTGAACTTCAGAGCACCAGAAAAACAACAGTATTGCTTGCAAAGAATGCCTCTACAGAGTTTGGTCTTGTTATTAGTCTTCTCACACTACTGATCTTCAAAATTGCAAATGATGAGGGAATTTGACTTTAACAATACCGTTAAACAATAATGCAAGGGGATGATTTCATGCTTTTTTGTTGGGTTGGTTTGGGTTTGTTTTTGGTTTTTTTTTATCCTCTGGTGCTTTAGGACAGCGTGGGGTTTTAGCGATTAGATCTAAAGCTGGCTGGTCTAGCTTTCTCATGATGGATTGGAAGCCAACTTTGTGATACAGCACGTGGAGAATTCTTTGGGGGCTTCGGTAGTGAGAAATGTGCTCTAAAAGACTTTGCAGGAATGCACTTTTCACTGAAAAGGGCTTGTGCACCTGAGCGCTTGCGTGCTTTTCCCAGTCCTGGTGTTAATCAGGAGGAAGACACCGGTTCTTTCTACCAAGTTGGCTTTGCCTAAAGGAAAAAACATGCCTTTCGTGCCTAATTGCATAGGTTGGGTTCTGTTTTTCCACTTCTCTCATTTTTCACGCTGTTTGACTGTTGGGGATACATTCCCTTGGTGTCCAGTGGATGTTCCTGTGAAGCGTTTCTGAGGGCTGTGCGTTCTTACAGGCATTTACAGGGGGCTGCAGTCAGATCTGCAAACCTTAACAGTCGTTTCAGCGTCCCGGCATTGTTTTCCTTACGGCGTGTGGTTTGTATATCCTGCCAGAGCTCTGCGGTACATTTGGGTTTCACTGCCTGAGACAGCTTCCTATCTAATGGTACCTTGGAAAAAAAAAAAAAGATATAGATATATCTATCTCTTTATTCTTACTTCTGTGGAGTGTGGGACGTCCATCCTTACAAACCAGACGAGTTTCTGAGTGACTGCAGGCTACATTATGTTGGGGGTTCCCACTCTGCTCCCTTGACATCCCAGAGCTGCGTTGTTCCACGTTTCCAGAGCAGGTTCTGCATGTGGCTGCAGAGAAAATCGGTGCTTTTGGATGCATGCCTTTGTTTTTCTTTATTTTGCTGAGAGAAACCAAGGTAGAACCGATTCATTCTGCTGAGGCATGCCTTTACTATTGTTTCAGAGGATATTTTGAGGTATGGTTTCCCCCTGGGATTTTTCCTCTCGACTTTCTGACCTTTTTTGCATCCTATAGTGATTTTCTTGATTAAAAGTATGGAGTCGTAATGGGTTTACGTGGGGTTTCTAAAATTAAGGTAATCTGAGGGCTTTAGGTTGGGGGAGGAGAGAAATGGTGATTGTTCCGGCCTTTTCTGTCACTGTTCTGTAGCTATTCAGAGAAAATACGACTTTTTGGGGAGCAGGTATGTGCTTGCTGGGCTCCTCAAAAATACTCTTTGCTCTACAAGTGTGGAGGCTGAGAGAATCAGTTCTCCACGACTGTGAGGGTGAGGAGTTTCAGTGAAGCGACGGACCAGGAGAGTAATTTCTTTCAGACCTCCCCAGAAGGGATGGGTGCTCCAGCACAGCCCTGCCCTGCCCTGGCTGCCTCGCTGGCGCGGGGGGCTCGGCCGGCGCAGATGTGTGTGCGCCGCACCCCACCTCCTCATCCCCCCGCCCTCGGCCAGGCCACCCACACTCCTGGTCCTTCTCCGTCAGCCCCAGCAGCTCATCTCCCAGACCCGGTCTGGGTCTTGCACCTCCAAATCACCGGCCGCGATTGGGGGGGTGAGCGTGGGGCACCCGAGCAGGCGCCCCTTCGAACGCTGCAAGTGTGTTGGCTCCACTTTTTTTCTAAAAGGATGCAACTGGTGCTTGTGCAAAGCGTTTCTGGGTGGTTCGAAAAACTCTGGGAAGTGTTCAGCCGTGGGAATGGCCACGGTGGGCTGACCGAGGTGCCTGCCCAGCCCACGGCTTTGCTCCCCACGCACCGAGGGAACCCGCGGAAGCTGTCCTTGCTCTTTGGTGTGTTTTTTCCGCCACGTGAAGCCTTGCTTTCTGCGACCTCCGTGTTGTAATGCTCTGCTAGTGTCCAGCCAGCAGCGGTTTCACCACAGGTTATTTCTCCTTTTGCATCTGTCTGTGTGGCTGCATCGTATTTTGCTAGATGGGGGGCAAGCATCTGCTCATTCTGCTCCGCAAATCCTCTCCCTTGTTGCGGCCACACCGAGTAAGAGGGATTTAGATGAGTTTAATTTAAGGCACAACAACACGCACCCTTACGTCCAGACCAAAAGCTGCGGAGTCCAAGAGCTGTGAGCGAATATATTAATCATATCTCAGGGGGTGGTGAATGGAAAAAGCATCTCTTGCTCTTCCAGCCGGCGCAGCTGTGCCAGGCGCCAGGCCCCGGGCGGACAGCGCGGCCCTTCACGGGCTGACCCGGCGGCCGAGCATCCCCCGACCTCCCGCAGCTGCAGCCCTGGAACAACGAACCCCTTGAGTCATCGGGGAGAAACTTTTTGCCTTCCTCGGCGTGGGGAGCGGACAGCAGAGTGGGGTGTTTCTGGTGTAGCTGCACCCCAGCAAGCAGCTTGGCCGCTCTCTACCCTGCCCCTGCGCTCCGGAGCGTGATCCTGGGCAGCTCCCTCCACCCCCAGGGTGATGTCCCAGCAGCGTACTGGGACCTCTGGGAACCCCAGTACGCTGCTCGCCAGAGGTTAAGTGCCATTCCTTGCATAATTAGAAGTGCTGTGGAAGTTGTCCCTAGGACAAACTCCTCTCTTTCTCTTTTTGCTCGCACCAGTTGTGTCCAGTACCAGGCTAAGCCTGGAGGACTGGTGTGTTCCTTCTTCAGGAGAGTTTGGTTTCATGGGCGTTGGTGTCAAAGCAGTGTGTGCTCGTAGCTGGTGTGATCAGAACTGCTGTCAGAAGCTTTTTTTAAATTGTTTTTTATCCCCTAAGTAAAAGCTATGTTTCCGTCATTTTTCCTCCGTGTCATTTCTCATTCTGACGGTCTTATTAGAAAGACAAAGTTTAATGGGCAGATTACTTTTAGCCAATAGTTAGAATTTTTCTGACTGATCAGTGATGAGTGTGCTACAAAAATAAAAATTCTATGAGAAAAGAGTAACAGAGTTGGGATTGTTTAGCCTGGAGAAGAGAAGGCTCCGGGGAGAGCTTAGAGCGGCCTCCCAGGGATGGAAGCGGGGAGGGACTCTGGATCGGGGGGTAGGGATAGGATGAGGGGTGACAGTTTTAAACTGAAATGGGGCAGATTTAGGTGAGATCTAAGGCAGAAATTCTCCCCTGTGAGGGGGGCGAGGCCCTGGCACAGGCTGCCCAGAGAAGCTGTGGCTGCCCCCTCCCTGGAAGGGCTCAAGGCCAGGTTGGACGGGGCTTTGGGCAACCTGGGCTGGTGGAAGGTGGCCCTGCCCGGGGTAGGGGGGTTGGAACTGAATGATCTTTAAAGTCCCTTCCAACCCAAACCAGTCTGTGATCCTATGAAGGTTTGAGCAGTTGTCTTTATTTACAAAAAACAAAAAACAAAAAATCACAAAAATGCTCATCAGTGTTGAATGTTTGTTCTCCCAGCCAAAACCAAATAGCTTTGTACATCGCGTTCACGATCCGAAGAGCCTCTTCCAAGGACGAGAGGGGGTGCGGCAGGTGCTGCAGGTGACGTGGGTGGCACGAGCCGAGGGTGCCGGTGACGACCCCAGTGACAGCAGGCAGGGCCACGCCGCGGGACCCGCCTGGGGCAGGCGGCTTCTGGAAAGGTGCCCTGGCTCCAGAGGGACACGGCGCAGCCGGGGGGCTGCTGGGGGGGCTCAGGAGGGGCCCAGGGATGGGGCAGGTGATTGGTCCCAGTTTTGATGCTTTCCAGCATTAGTTTTGTGGAAGTGGCAGCGGAGGGCTGGGACCGTGCTGGCGGCTCTCGCTGCATCCGTGGTGGGAGGAGGAGGAGGAGGAGGAAGGTCCAGCTGTTTGCAGTAGCTGGGTGATGTGCTTTGGAAGCCATCGTTTGTGTTTTATTTGCTTTTTTAATTCTTAATCTGAGGTTTCACGTTACTATTAACTCTGTCCAAAGCATGCTTAGAGCCCCATTACTCAAGTTTTGTGAAGAGAAGGGTTATTTTTATTAACTGGAAAATAAACATATTGTGCCGATCTCTTGTATTTCCCCTTCCGAGACTAAACTTTAATGGTTTTGTTCAGACTGTGAAAAGCTTTCAAGTCTGTTAAGAAATTTGGATTGTTTCACTGAAAACGACAAGACCCGTCACTCAAAATGAGAAATCAGGGTGTTTCATCTTTCTAAATCCTCACGATTTTCCAGGTGAAAGTCTCCTCTGAGTTAGTCTGAGCCCACTGGTAGTTCTGTTTCTTTACAGCGTGAGGGGAGTGTGGCATGCAAGGATCCAGCTTACACCCGTCAGGAAAAGAAATCAGTGTATTAATCCATAATCTTTGTGACAGCGCCCGGGTGTGGAGAAGGAGCCGGCGTGGGCTGCATGTTACGCTGCAGCTTTTCAAAATTGTGGTTAATGTTGTGTTAAAATGGTGTTTGTAATGGCGGGGAAAGGAAACCTGTTTAACACGATGAGGGGGGTGCCACTGCAAAAATCTGGTGATGAAAAATGTCGGGTTTAGCCCTGGCGCTGGGTGCCGCTGTGACAAAGTCAGCGGGGTTATTTGGGGCGGGAAGCTGCGCATCTTGACGGGCTGGTCCCCACCACTTCATTTTTAGTGCCATTATTTAGTTGCGTTTTCCAAAGCTCAAATAAGACAGCCGAGTAATAACGGCATCCAAAAGCAACGCTGATGATTTCGTTGAATTTTTAACCTGAATTACAATGCAGTCTGTTACTTCAATTAGTTCTGCGGTTTGAACTTGATTTGAAGATGCGGTTGAAAATAAAAACCTTCTGGTTTTGCTCATCCTTTGCCCTGCTGCGTCGTGTAGGGGCAGGTACCGGCGGTGCCCGCAGGAGCATCGCGCTCCGTGTCAGCGTGGTGGGATGCGGGAGGTTGGGGAGGATGTCCTAAATGAGAGATTTCGATTCTCCATCCAACCGTGGCTGGTCCTTCCCCGGGTCGGTAAGTGCCAGTTTTACCTGTCGTCGCTTAAGAGCGTAACTGTGCTCGTGAGGCTGCGGGGAGCTGGGCCCAGGCCATCCCACAGCGTCTCGGGGTCCTTTTGGACACAACGTCGTTGCAATGACAAAAATATGAGGAATTCCAGTAAATTCAGACCAGCCCTGCACACAGGCAGAAATAAACAGCAACAGCTGGGAATTTGGGAAACCCTTTGGGGTTATTTTTTGCAGGGGAAACCCTTTGGTTTCCCAAGTTCCCTTTTATGCGGCTGCATTGGGGTTTATTGGAGTAAAGCAGATGTAAAATCCAGCAGCTGCTCCTTAGGGAACAGGAACGGGGGGTTCTTGGGCTGGAGGAAGAGTGTGGCTGGGGGAGATAAGTTGGGAAAGGGTGTTTGTGCCAGAGCCGGGGGGTGGGAGAGGGGAGGCGAGACCCCCGGGGCACGTCAAAGGCAAAGAGACCTTGAATGATGATTACTTCTGATAGGGACTTTTATGGCCTGTAGCTTAACGAGCCACCCCTGTTAACTCGCAATTCACGGAAGAGATTTATCCTCTGCTATTTCAAAGATGCTTTTGATGCCACAGGTTTTGTTCTCAGGACAATCACGCGCTTGATAACCTTTGGTGCTGCTTGTTTGAAGCCTCTTCGTTCTTGTCTTGGGCTGTATTTGGCTTGTGTTGTTTATGTACGGCTGAAATAATTGTGATTGGGTTTCTTCAGCGTAAAGAAAACCCCGTCCCAGTCGGAGCAGCCCCGGTTGGAGGCGGGTGCGGTAACACACAGAACAAGACGTTTGGCTCCTAATTCATCTTTCATCAAATTCCTTGTTTTAGGAAGTGGAAATACCTGTGGGAAATGCTGCTGGCGATGAGCTGCCACACCCTGGGGTGACTGGGAGGACTGGTCAAGTTTCTAAACCAGAATTCCAGTTTCTGGGTAGGGATGTTGATTTAATAACTGTCAGAGAGTTTTTAATGCAGTAACTATTTTTTCATGAATAAGAGGTCGTTACATAAAATTTTTGCCCCTTGGCAAAAATCATGTTAGAAAGATGTGCTTGCTCTAGGTTTAAAGTGTTAATTTATGTGGTGTACTGAATTGAATTTAAAGGTCCCTGAAGGCCTTTGAATCTCAGCGGCTAATGAGCCTTGCAGAAGAGAGCTTGAGAGAGGAAAAACTTACTGGCAGTGAGTAATACTGGTGAAAGAGCTCCAGGATTGAGCAAGTTTTGCAGAGAATAATTAGGAAGGATCGCACTGGCATTTGGGGTGTTTGATTATTTCCAGCTATAGATCTCCCCTGACGCTGCCCACGTCCCTGTCCCTGCAGCCCCCCGTGCCCCGGAGGGATGCTCCTCCCTGCCAAAACCCTTCAGGTTGAGGTTTCCCAAGACTTGGGCTGACCCAAGGGGACACAGCTCCTTGTGGTTTCCCTCGGGATGAGCTGAGCATCCGTGAGCAGCCATCTCGCATCTCCCGTGGCTCTCCCCCTGGCTCCTGACGGAAAGGATTTGGTGTTCCGGCTCCGATCTGTCCGCTCGGCTAAGCAAAAGATGTTTAAACTTGTCCTTCTTCTTCCAGCTGGCCTTGCCAAACTTCTTCCACCCTGAAGAAAAGCTGCACGTTGGAGAAGAAGGTAGACGCGTCCGTCGAAATAAAAGGAGTAAAGGCAGCGAAGGGCCAGAGGGTGAGTCCCGCGGTGTTCCTCGCCGCTGCGCTTCTCGTCTTCGCACAGACAGGCAGAAGGCTGACTTTTTTTTTTTTTTTTTTACAGCTCATGGTTATGATCATGCTACAGTATGGGGAAAAACAAATTAGGATCTGTGGCTTTTAATAGTTTCTATCTGATTTTGATTGCCTTCCAGATGAGGAGTTCCAGTAGTTCTGGTTTCTGCAGCTGTAAGCTGTGCAAATTAATGCTGCTTAGTAATTTCGTCCTTGACTCTTCTTCTTTAATAGTGAGGCTCTGTGCTCATTTAAGGCTATAAATTTGTACTTATATACCTGTACTTGTTGTTCTGTGCACCTGTCTGCTTAAAATCATTGAGGAGCTGTTCGTAATCTGACAAACAGCTTGAACATCTGCATCAGGGTAACTGCTCTAAGGGGGTTTTGCACTGCCGTGGATTCTCAGGTGGGTTCAAAGCCCGTGTGAAGGGAGGTCAGAGCCTGTATTAAGAGGGCACAGAGTTAGAAAAAAAAAAAAAATCTCAATTATGTATCTGTGATTTCATGAGTATGTGTGATAAATCCTCCAGGGGCATCAGGCTTCCTCGGCGGCGGGGACATCCCTCGTGTGATGATGCTGTCGCTTCCCTTTGCTGTCACTGTTGCTTGGCGAGAGCATTGTCCTCCTCGTGTCCTGCTCTGCTATGCTCAGAGCCCTTCTCTTCTATCTGGTCTCTTTATTTTAGACCTTCGGGTTGGTTTTGGACTTGGCGTCTGACAACGCGCGTCCCCTGCGTGGACAGTCCCACCACCCTCTCCGTGATGGGATGGGCCATACCGTGGTCTTGCTACCGTCTGAGAGGGGTGTTGCTTAACGCATTTCAATCTTTAATCTGGGAAGTTCTGGAAGACAGAAGCCGTTCCTGATGGCTGTGAAGGTGCTGAGCTTTTCACGTGGCAGGTGTCCTCTAAAGGCCCTGGACATCTGAAGGTGCTTTGAAATGGAGATGGAACCCTGCCAAAGTTACCTTTCATGCTTGAGGTCATGTCGTGTCACCTTTTTTGTCCTTCTGAGGAGTGCCAAAATCCCTAAGTAGCCCATAACTTAGAGTAAGTCCTGTGACATCTTTATTGTGCCAGAAACACTCTCGGCACTTGTTGCGAACTTAAGCAATAAATACCAAAATAATTAAAATCTCCTTCACCTTCAGTCCTTTCCCCCAGCTTGAATCCTGCCTGATTTCAGTACGAGGAATTTTATTTCCAGTGCTGTCTCTTCATTTTGTCCGGCTACACTGAGACATTGGGGACTGCCTCCTGTGCTGAGCCGCTGGAAGAGCTCCAGCACTTCCCTGCTGCGGAAAGGCACGGGCCCGTTTTTATACGGAGAGGAGAAGGGGACTGGGTGCCGGGGAAAGAAATCATGGAGTGGTGGTCTGGGCGTGGCTCGGTGCCTACAAAACCCAAGTCCTGACTGCGTTACAAACCTCTCAGCCATCGTTAGTTTTTCCCCTCCAGCTCCGTGAGTTTCCCATCTCCCCTGCAGCCCTCATAATTTCAGAGTGGAAAAGCGTTTCCCTGTGGCTCTGCTCCAAGAAAAAGCTTCGTGAAACTTGCCCAGATTTCTCCTCCCCGAAACGCTGACAAGTATGATGCATTTGGTACAGGCTCCCTGAGTGATTCCAGCGAAATGTGGTCCATCATCTTTCGAGCCGGTGTCGCTCTGATGCTCAGATGGCTCACGCGGGATCCAAGTCCTGTTGCTCCGACTCCTTGAAATCTATTCCAGCGTCTTCACGAGTCGCTCGTGCAAGTAGCGAGTTTCCCCCTGTACGCGAGTGGAGAGCTGCAGGCAGATGTTCCGAGGAGTTCGCCTGGTCCTAAGTGCTGCCTTTCCAGCGCCAGATGCGCAGAGAATTAGAATTAGGTGAGAAATAGATGCTGCAGGTCGGTGGTCTTGACGAGGGCTCTTCTCACTGACCTTGTGCCCCGGGTGAAAACACGTCGTACTTTTATAATTCGCACTCCTTGCCCGGGTTTCCTTTACCTTCCCTGAATGCATCGGATTTGAGTCACTCCAGAAACGTCGCGCACTCCCACGGATCATAGATGTCATTTAGTAAATTGACTACCATAAAGTGACCCCATAGCGTGATGGCGACGGGGAAAAATTGCCAGGTTTCCCCAGTGGCGTTAGCAAGGGGGGTTGTGTTGGCAAGCAGTTGCTTGGTGTTTGGCCCTCTCAGCTTTGTTAGGAAGAGCAGTATTTAACAAGTGTAGGCTGTCAGGGCAGGGACTGACCTTGTAACAACCGTAAAATCAATAAACAAACAGAACAGCTTGCTTGTGTAACTTGTGCTGTTTGTTCTTGACCTACGTGAAGGAATCTTACTTTTTAGAGAAGGGCAGTTGGAGAAAAAAAAAAAAAAAAAAAAAAAAAAAAAAAAAACACCGTTTTCGTCATGAGTTTTGCGAAGGGAAAGTTGATCGAATCTTTGATCTCCAAAGAGCCTCCAGAAGATAAAAGTGGATGAACTATAAATTCCCAGAAGGAAGGAGATGTGCTTTCCACTTGAGGCCTCACTAATATTTGTCTGGAATTAATTTGATGAACTTTCAAGTCCTTTCACACATGCAGTGAAAGACCAAAGTGATCCAAGTGTGGAAGCCGTGGTTGGAGGGAGGCTGCTCGGTCCCCTTCCACGGCTGTTGGAGTCCTGCTCATCTTGGTACCAACCACGGGATGGCTTTGATGATTTTTAAATGTCAAAGATAACACGGTTCCTTTCCTAAAAGATTTTTTTTTTCTTTTAGGAAAATTTGCTTTCAAGTCTTTTGCTGTGAAAAAGGTGGTTTTGAGGCAGGTCAGAGCAGGTCCCGTGGGGCCAGGGGAGGGTGGTGGCCGCGGCTGAGCCCAGAGCTACAGGGACAGGACGCGGGAGGCCACGAGTAGCAAAGCTGCTTCCGTGCCTCCTTGTTCCTTGCCGAAAAACCCCGAGAAAAATAGTGTGCGATGGTGCAAAGCTCTCGGTTGGATCCTGTCACTTCCAAACATGACTCCGGTATTTTGAGGACTCCAGCTTCACTCCTCCTACCCGCTTCTCATGTTTTATGATCGTGTTTGCTTAATTTTTGTTTGTGTCCCTCCACGCACAGTGCCCTGGCGGTGGGGAAGCCGAGGTCGTGTCCGGGGAGGAGGTGCCTGCCTGGCTGCCTTGCTCTGCCGTGGGTCACCCCGCCCCGGGCAGGGGGGATTGATGGGAGGCTGGTGCCTGGCCCAGTCCTGAGGAGCACAGATCGTCTTTCAAGTCAGCTTCCCGTCCATGCCCCCAAAACCAACATTTGCACAGCTTTAAAACTCGCTGCTCTTTTTCTTCTGCTTCTCAAGGACCGGGATTATCCCCTTTACAGCCGTGTTTTACAGTGTTCTGTCTAGTTTGTGTTACCGACTCCACCTGTCACTTTATTTGCTTTAGCTCACTAAAACTTGACCCTCTTCAATATCTCTCTCTTAGTTTTCTTTTTCCCCTCCTTCCTGCTTTTTCTTGGTGTATTTATGCTGCTGTGGAACTGCTGCTGCTCCCAGATTAACAAATCATTCTGGAGCTGGTAATTAGCAACAGTTGTGCTAAAAGGAACCATCAAGAATGTTAAATTAGTCCACTTCTAAATAAACTGTGTATGAAATGTTAGATCTCTATTCCCAGAGCACCAGTAAAAATGCTGCTGGCTCTTTGCTAACAAAGCCAAAATATGGGAGTAGCATGGTTGTAACTACAGAGACAATTCCGTGCTCTTGAGGTTATAAATAATGACAGAGCATTTACAAAGCAGATGTCAATAGGACTCTTTAAAAAACATTGTTTTTTAAAAAAAATAGTTTCTTTTTCTCCTACTTTCATCTCTGTTCCCAGTTAGATCCCTGCCGTGCTGCTTTCCTGGTTTGTTTGGTTTTTGCTTTTTGGTTTGCGTTTTTGTTGGGGGTTTTTTTGTTGTTGTTGTTGGGGGTTTTTGTTGGGTTTTTTTCCTCCCTAGATTTTTTCGTATTGAGCTTGGTGAGAAACATAAGCGATTGTTATCCATTCTTTGATTTGGAGCATGGCAGCTGGGAAGAGGCTGAGCAGATGGCTGTCCTTAAGCTGACAACAATTTGGTTCCTACTACTTTGGCAGTCCTCACTGCCGAGGAAAGTCCTTGATGAGAACTCACGGGTTTCAGTGCTGCAAACGGCTTTTGTGGAAATGAAAATTAAAATTCTGGGAGAGCAAGAAGCTCATCTCCATCCCTGCTTCTACCTGGAGCTTCGGAAGGGATGCACCAGCTACGTGGGTCCAGCGTTTCACCCTGTTGTTAGTATTCTTTGGTGGGTTTAGGATGGGTTTGGGATGGTTTAACTCCCTCCATCCCCCCCAGCAGCCCCCGGTCCTGCAGGTGCTGTGTCTCAGCCGTGTCCCCCCTTCTGACCTAGCAGCACTGATGATGCAATAGGGCTTTTTTTTTTTTTTTTTTTTTAATGTCCAGATCACAATAGCAACTTTTCCTGCTGGCTTCCTCTCCTTTGGAAAGGGCAGGTTCGTCCCTCTGCCTCCAGAACAATCAGTGCCTTTGTGTCGGCCCCGTGCAATTCCCCAAAGCCCAGGCATTCCCAGAAACGCAGATGTATGAAGGGCGATAGAGCCTTATTGTGCTCCGAAACCATGGTGATGAGCACGCAGTAAATACAGAACATTTCCTGGATACTGGAGCGCAGGAGACAGTCCCAAAAGAAAGGCTCACCGCAAAGCGCTTGCACTGACTGATTTCCCCCAGAATTGCTCTGTGATTTCCGCCAGAATGGGAGAAGGGAGGAATTAAGATGATGTTTGAATCTTCGTGGACAGTCTCCATCCCTTTCGCGTGACGTGGCTGTCAGGACTGGTTATTACAATGGTAAAATTAAAACTACAGCTCATTCACAGATCCTTACTTGCACGTTAGACCTGTGCTTAGGTTAATAAGACAGGTATCTGTATGAGGTCT